GTGTGTGTGTGTGTGTGTGTGTGTGTGTGTGTGTGTGTGTGTTTATGCGATTCACTCACGAGATGGTCTCAATCATGTCTACCCCCATCTCTACGCAGCAGTGGGCGTGATCGGCCCGGGGTTCGGGCAGCCCCGAAACACAGTAGTAACAGTCCCCGAGGATTTTGATGCGCAGGCAGTGGTTCTCCTGCACAGCGAAGACAAACACACATCAACAACAATAATGATTACAGCAAACGCACACAGCTTGCTAATGTCAAGTAGATGCAYGATTTAGATAACCAATCAGTCTGTAATTAGTGTGTTACACAACCTAACCCAACACCCACTGAGTCTACAGCCTGCAGTTGCATAAGAGGCATTCGGAGGCCTGCAGGTGTTAACAGGTGTCTTACCCAGGCCAGCTTGTCAAAACGGGCGAACAGCTCGTTCAGCGTCATGACCAGCTCCTGCGCCGTGCACTGGGACGCCAGGCTGGTGAAGCCTTCGATGTCGGCAAACAGTATGCTGCGGGTCGGGGGGGGGGGGGGGGGGTGAAAGGTGAGGAAATGAATCAAAAAGAGTAAGAAAAATACATAAATAAAAGTTAGATCAGTCGATAAAAGTACAGAGCGAGCAGCGGGGACACTAGGAGGGGACGCAGACTTTCATTTAGTCCTGACTCGCCTCATCCAGGCTGATGTAGGTCACCGGATCCAGCCCTTCCCTCTGAGATCGRCACTCCTCTCCCCGTCCCCCTCCTCCTCTCCCCCACCCTCATACGCCTGTCTGCATGCCTTTCATTTCTAACTTTTCATACGAATGAAACACAAGGATCAAAACAAAAACAAAGGTTCCAGCTGAAGGTGACAGGTGGTGCTGTGGATCCCTAACGGGCCAAAGGGAGATCTAGATCTCCAAAACAGAGGTCCAGAGAATGTTTGTGTCTTCCCACCATGACAGAGGAGGCTGAGCCAGGATGGATTAGTTTGCCTCCAAAGAATACAGTCACTGAAATGATAAGATTACCACTGATAGTATTTCATCATGGAGTAAGTGTAGTTTTTGGCATCCATTTTTATTAGCTCATTCCTGGTTGTCAGAATACATAACACACTTGCAGTTTATTACACATTATTTGYGTTAATCATTCCGTTGATATTAATGTTTTTGCATTCTTTCTTTTATTTCTTTTTGCTTTACTTATTATTATATAGATTTCATAGTCTGCTTTAAAAAACCTCCCCCTTGCACGCCTCATGCCTAAACTGTACCAACCCAAACAATAATGTTAGTTAGAGGCAGAGGAGGGAGGGAGTATGATTTTGACACTCTTTGGACAAAAAAACAACAACTTGAAACTGATACGAGGGACACACAGAAAACATAATGTGCGTACCTGAGCTGAACATGATGAGATCAAGTTAAACAGATTTTAAAATGATTGTTTTCTGCAGGTTGATATAATAATCCAAGCAAATGTCAGTGCAGATAAAAAGGAAACACCATAGCTACTTTAGAGAATCAAATATAAAGGGCAGTTTATGAGAGTACTATACCCTATAATTATATGGTGATTAGGAATTAACTTGCACCCGATTTTTATCGCCTGTCCGAATGAAATGCAGGCGATTGTGTAATTGCCTGTGTGTTTGTTTGTCCGTCTATCTCATATTTCATAAACCAGTGAACAGATTTAATCAAATTCTTCAAAAGCAATCACTGGATGTAATTCTAAAACTGATTAACATTTGGGAGTCGACCTGATTTGAAATGGTCGCTACMGCTAATCAACAAAGAGCTACARCTCAGTCAGTTTCACAGATRTTGGGCTAAAATTTGGTGTGGTGGTAGCCGAAATCACCAACTCATATTTTGAGAACTAAAAAARTCAAACAAGACATTTGTTATTATTTTCAAATGAAAGGCAGATAGTGCACMTTCTTTCAAGGAATGTGATTTTTTTAGATTTACGTCTATTAATCACTAATAATGTTCATAACAACAACTTTAAACCATTAGTGGCAGCTGGCTACTTGAGAAGTAAATATTAAACTTGCATTAAAGAATCAAAAAACTGTTTTAAATTGAAGATTTTAACCCAGCAGAATGAAGGTTCTTGAAGTTTGTGCTTGAAGTAACATGCCAAAATGTAATTAATTTCATTATACAGCAAATAAACCTTTTAAAAGTATCATAAAAAAGGCTATAAAAACTTATGAGAACCATTAACCCCACTGTAGAAAATTAGCAATAAAGTTTMATTCAGCCACCAGTACAAGAGGCATGGGGTTTAAGAGGTTAAAGACTAAAAGACTAAAATTCAAAGWCAAAAAAGTGGCATAAATCTCATTTCTTACTGATCGTAACAGACTTTAATACAAATTTTATGAACAAATACACACTTCTAAAATTACACAACATAATAACTTTGATTTGTTTGTAGTCAGGGAGTTTTGCTCTTACAAAACAACCCGAGCATCAGTTTGAGCCAAAGACAGCAGGTTTTAATCTTGTGTTCCTGTCAGATAATGGATCGCTCCTATAAGTTTACACTTGGGCAAAGCAGCGGTGATGCAACAGATTATAGCATTAGGTGAATGGACGGAACTTATTTAGGACATCTGTGATAGAAGAGTTCGGCTCGCAACCTCATTTTATTCTCCTCAACTCGGCAAACGCCTCAACAAAATACTTAATCATCACTTAGTTCCTCCAACTCAGGAGACGGGGTGGAATTTACAACATAAAGTAAAACAGTGGGCTCAAGTTTTTATCCAACGTGATGAAAATTATCGTAGTAACGAGCACATTAGTCGAATCAGAGTGAAGTCTAGGCTTTGTGTTTTAAGCCTGCGACATCATCATGACTGAGCTGAATGTGTCTCTGTCTAGGCTTACCTCACGTTATCGTGCTTTTGGATGTAGATCTTGTGAAACATCATATCTTCCTTCTTGGCACTGATATCAGCCTTCATCTCAATGGCAACGTGCTTTGGCAGTACTGATAGGAGTAAGCGCTCCTGAGAGGCAGAGAAGGTGACAGAGAGAGAGAGAGAGAGAGAGGCATTAAAAGAAGTACAGCGGGAGAGAGAAAGTCCGATCATTGTTCACCATTTCTCACAGCGAGAACGCTGAGTGAGTCACTCGTGCCTCGCCAGCCTCTGCGTGGGAACGTGTTAGTCAAACAGAGAGAAGTGGAGAAGTGTGCAGCACTCCCGAGCATATTGTTGACCTCGAAAACTGAGACAAGCAAATTGGACCATGAAACGGAGACACCCATTTGTTGCTCATTTGCATTTGTGATGCATTTTCCTGCAGGATGTGGGAAGGGCTGCCTTCCTGCCTTATTTTGTTTGGACTTACAGGTGTCTCCATATGTGTGTGTGTGTGTGCAGGTGCATGTGCGTGTGTGAGTCTACCTGCTGTTGGTTTTCCCTCTTCAGGTGCAGTCTGGCCTGAATGTATCCTCTCGTCTCCTGAAAGGCTTGTCTCTGAGAGACCTCAGCAGGGTAGTGGGTGCAGATCCCGATCATGTTGGTGCACATAAAGATCAGCACGTTGGCGCTGAGCTGAAAACACACACACACACACACACACACACACACACACACACACACACACACAC